ATACAGTATAATGTATTATATATGTATATATATATATATATCTATATTATACATATGTACATATGTACATATATATACCTATACATATACATATATATATGTATATATATATATATATATATATATATATATATATATATATATATATATATATATATATATATATGTAGAGAGAGAGAGAGAGAGAGAGAGAGGAGAGAGAGAGAGAGAGAGAGAGAGAGAGAGAGAGAGAGAGAGAGAGAGAGAGAGAGAGAGAGAGGCAGAGTAAGAGAGAAAGATAGAGTAAGAGAGAAAGGGAGACAGAGTAAGAGAGAGAGGGAGACAGAGTAAGAGAGAGAGGGAGACAGAGTAAGAGAGAGAGAGACAGAGTAAGAGAGAGAAAAAGAGAGACAGAGTAAGAGAGAGAGAGAGAAAGAGAGAGAGAGAGAGAAGAGAGAGAGAGAGAAAGGAAGAGAGAGAGAGAGAGAGAGAGAGAGAGAGAGAGAGAGAGAGAGAGAGAGAGAGAGAGAGAGAGAGAGAGAGAGAGAGAGAGAGGGGGGGGGGGGGGGAGGGAGGGAGAGTAAGAGCATGAGAGGGAGTGAGAATATAAGAGAGAGTGAGAGCATGAGAGATAGTAAGAGCTGCTAAGTCACCAAGGATCCAGCTACAAGTATTACTTATCTCACCAGTTTATCCTTTTCCTTGATTTTAGGAAATAGTTTCTGGTATAATATTGCTGTTAATTATGCCTACAACATTATGATAATTGTTATATCAATAATAAGAATAGCAGCGTCAATATTGATAGTATTAGTAAAAAAGAAACTTTTACCTGTAAACTCAAGGAAAGGTGAAATTTCTTTAGATTGTGGCTAAGCATTTGTGGAGTCATCTTTGTACTGAGACATTTCATAAACAATAATACTGTGAATGCATTAGTGTTCATATGTTTTTTTTTTATGTATGATGTTCTTACATAAGAAAGAATCTTATATTTTGAAATGATATCAGATTCATATTTAACTTTTCAAATATTCTACTTGTGTTTATTTTAAGAATATTGCCTTTTCCATATGTTTGGATTATGACCTTTTCATTCAATTTTATATTTTATATTTTAATATCTATTGTTATTGGATGCATTTGTTAATGTTTCTATCCCTTGTTATGTAATTATGGGGTGATTTTATAGCATGTAAGGAATTCTGTAAGGATTGGCTGATACAGTTATAAATTTTTCTCTGGGATTACCAATTTTAATGTAAGCTTAGCATTGCCAAGCAATTTTGTGGGATAATTTATAGATAATGCTTCATTGTTATTACTTTTCCTTTGATTAAAGTGTCATCTTCATCATCATGTGCATGCCATTATTTTACAATATGCTGTAAAATATACTTATATATTTTGATTGATAAGGTGCCTAAAATGTTTTATCGTGAAAATGATCATATGTGTCATCAGAATATCTTACATAGTTGACAAAGAGAAAGGGAAAATCTCTGTGGCACCAAGATTCAGGATTAATTTAATGTATTTTTCATATTTCTCTGCAGGACGAAAGGGTCTCGTAGAGAAGTCGTCTCTTATTCGGCACTCTGTATCTGCTCAGCGAAGAGCTGAACTCAATAAGATAGCATCTATAGAACAAAGAACAACTTCTGCTTCTGAAAACCAAGCTTTCTTGAAAGATGTATGTGATTTTTTAGAAAGTTATATGATATATATTATTGAAGTTAAGTTTAAATTACAAATAGACTGCAAAGTTTTTGATTTACCTGATATTTTTTTAATATATAATGATCTTATCCTACATATTGCAGGTATTAACACAGGTGATAGAAGGTGAAGGCATTGGCTGGCTGAAGTTAAATCGTGTTCGTAAATTAATGGAAGATGAAAGTTACAGAATGCTTGTTGTCTCTGGCCTAAACCGCACACTTGAGAGGAAAATTGGTCCAGATGATCATATTGATGATGTTGTAAGTTTTTTGTACTACAATTTGATAATTCTATATTTATGTTTATGACACTCAAAAGTTAGTGTTAAAGTATATGAATTATTTGTATGCTTTTCTCCACAGTGCATTAAAAAACCTGTTTGGAAAGGTATGTTGAAACTTATAAATGCTGTAGTTGCTGGCTTGGAAGTAACTTACAACAGCTTCAGTGGTGGAGGGACCTCATCTGCTCTTCAAGCATTAGAAATATCTCACACCCACTACTGGAGCCGTGATCTCTCTGACCCTCATGTCCTGGACATGTCCGGGGGCTCTTCTGCTCTCTCTCAGGTATAGTTTTACTTGTAATAAGATTTCAGATGTGTAATTTGGTTTTACTTTCTTTGTGAGATACTGAATAAGTGGAAAAACAATCTTCATAATACTATAAGCAACATGTTATTTTTGCAGTCTTCCAGTCCTTTGGGCAGCCTTGAGAATCTTCGATCTCCCGGAAGTCCCAGAGGGTCACCACTTCCTCCTCACTCTCCACAGCCACCTTTTGATGGGTCAGATTGCTC